AAATGAAGGACCCCCCACCTCCAGAACTCCCCTTCACCACTCCCGACGGTGTCTACAAGCGCCCCCCTCCCTTCCAGCCCTCTTTCTCCCCCACCCCCGCCGCCTCGGACGCCACCGCCGAAGACGCCGCCTTCCTGCGCGCGCATTTCAAACCCCTTTCTTCCGACCAGCTGCTGGACCGCCTCGTCTCCGCTGAGCTGCGCCTTCAAAAATGGGAGCTTGCCGCCAGCGACCTTGTGTCTACGCTCGCTCTGTCCCCCGAAATGACAGAAGCCTTCTACGCCCGCTCGCTCCGCGACATGCTGTCGGACGCCCTGCGCACTCTGGACCCCATCGACGAGCTGCGCCACGTTGAATGCTCCATGCCCAGCGTCGCCACAGAGGCCCCTGCCATTGCCATGCTCGACTGGCAGGGGCTCGCTTTCTCGAGCTGGGAAATTGAGTGGGCCCCGCATAGCTGGTGGGTCTCGGTCAGCGCCGTGGGCACGCGCTGGGGGCTCGGCTTTAACAGCTTGGCACGCGTCTCAGGCATTCATTTGAAGGGGCGCTTGCGCTGTGCGTTTTCGGCGGATTTGACCGCCCTGCGCATCTCGTTTGTGGAAAAACCTTTTTTGGATATGCTCATCGAGTCCAGCGTCGGTTGGGGCGTCGTTCCCATTCCCGTGCAGGAGCAGATTGAGGGCATGGTGCGCTCGGAGATTGAGCGCTTTTTGGAGAGGAGACTTACGGGCGATAATAGTATGGTTGTCGTGCTCAGGAGAAAAATGTTGTCCAAGCTCACCAATAGTGACATCATAGAGGCTGCGGATCAGGCGAAAAGGGCCAGTGAGATCAGTTTAGGGTCGAGCTTGCTGTTGTGACAATCGAATGCAAGCTGTCGGGTGCGTCGTTGCCTGACTTGTAAATTTATTACGGCATACCGTACAATACATGTGGTATGTAAGAGTTGTTGCTGTGCTTTCTCGCATGACTGCTCATCCTTCTTTGTGCACAGTTGCAACTTTGCACCTGCAAACTCTTCCTTGGGGCTCGCCCCTTCCTTTGTACCTCTTCCACGCCATTGCCGTGGATTTCTATAATCTGGTCTACTGTATTAGTACAAAATCTGTGTGAAATGTGCAAAACACTTATGATTCGTGACACCCTAATCAAGAATGTAGCGGCTTGACTTTAGTCCGCCCGGCCGCCTCGATCTGATCTGGCTCGATAAAGAAGGGAGAATTCGTAATTACTCTCTGCAAAAGCTTGACAAAAGCGTCAATCTCCCTCTCATAAACTTGTAAGCTCTCTTGCAGCAGCCTAGCAGCGGCCTCATCGCCTCCCGCCTTGGCCACGGCCGCACAAAGCGCGTTCATTGCGATGGCAAAGTTGGCAAGCTCCGCCAAGGTTGCGCCAAACTTCTCCCTGAGCGCCTCAGTGGGCCCGTCCTTGGCGTTGATATTCTTGGCAAACGTCAGCAGCGGCTGCGGCACGCCCGCGAGATACTTGACGAGCCACTTCCACACGCCGGTAGCGTTACCTACGGCGGCCAAGTTCTCCCTCCGTCTCCACTGCTGCTCCCACAAGAGCTTGTACTTGTCGCGCACGGTGCCGCCGGCGGCCATCAAATCGCGCATGGCCTGGGCGTTGCGTTTCTCACTGTTGTTCTTCGCGGCGGTGAAGAGCGAGGCGCGGAAGTCCTGCGGCAGAAACTGGTCGATGACTGAGTTGACGTGCTCGCGCTGCTTGATCTGGAAGTGCTCGAACTTGTGTGCGCAGCCGCGCAGGCGGGCCTGCAAGGCGGCCAAGGCGGGGGTGTCCTCGACGCGCTCGGCAGCCTCCTCGCAGGCGCAGCGGGCCTTGTACATGGAGCTGTCCAGGCCCGAGGGCAGCTGCTCTGTCAAAATGGAGTCGACGTCTGCGTGGCGGCCCGCGGCCTCTCGGAGGACCTGCATCCTGACGCGCAGGGCTCGGAGGTCGTCGCTGACGGTGGGGTCCGGGAAGTTTCGGTAGTGGTGCGAGAGCAGCTCGCGGGTGATGGGGACCATGTCGTCCGGGTTTGAGGTGCGGCGCTGGTCGGGGGTAGAGAGAGGGACGGTGGAGTCGGTGCGCGGGAGCGGGGCCTTGACGGGTGCCCGTGGGGGCTCGGCGCGGGCGACGGGGAGCGAGTAGACGGTGGCCGCGAGCGTGGCTAGACGCGGCATGGCGGCGCGCATTGTGGAGGAGATGGCGGGTTGCGGATTGTCCCGACGGGGGTGGGCGGATGTTGGAGCAGCGTTCGGCGTGGTGGGCGTGGCCGTGGACTTCTTTGTGAATAGTGTGGGGATCTTAATACTGTACGTACCGTGTGGGTACCGTGGTGGGGGGCGGGATTTGCCTGGTGGTTTTTTTTTGGGACGGGTTGTTTCTTTGAAGATTTTGGTGCAAATGACAACGCACTGTGTCCCGACATAAATACCGAAAAAACGAAGAGCAGCAGGCAGGCGCTGAGGGTCGAATGTACACGTGGCGGAGGGCGGGCGGATGAAATGCGTGGGCATGACCGCATGACGGGCGAGAAAGGTCCATCGGCAAATGGCATGGCAGTCTCTAGAAGGGCGGATGGTGTCGTCTCACCGTCGTGCCATCCTGTAGCATCTGCGACGGTGGTATGTCACGACGCGTCTCTGCATGTCACACAAAAGAGTCTCCATCCCTCGCCCCCGCTCCGGACGAGTTTCGACGCCTACTGTACTCGAGTACTTTACCGTACCTACCTGCGAGGAAACCTGCAGATACATGTATACCGCCCTGCCAAGCCCTGCCAAGCCTTGCCACTGCTTGTTACTCTGGCTTTTTTATTTATTTTTTTGACCTCGTCATGAGTATGGCGCAATCCGCTCTACCAGTGATGATGCGCCCAGGCGCACGTTGTCCTCTTCTTTGTCCTCTTCTTTGGAAGAGGCGAGGCCTTTGCTAGACGTGTGGATGCACTAAGTTGCTGCGAAAGATATTCCAACGTGGTTTGTGCGCTGTTCCTTGAAAACGTACACGTCACGCTTGAAGTTTTGAACGTGTTAGGTTGTTCGTCTGTCCCCCTCGCCTGCGACATACAGGGATGGGCTGGATGACCCGCTCGATGATCGTAGGAAGTGTGCGACTTGCGCATCTCTAAAGACTTACCTACCCTGCCTACAGCATTCCTCTCCTTGGATAGGCTCAAAGACTAGACCCTCCGCAGTGGTAGTATCGCGCCCTGCAAACAGTTTATTTCCCTCCATTTATTGCTGCTTTCGTGGCCCTTGATTTGCAATCTCATACTGTACGTACTGTACAGTGGACCAATGGTCCAGTGCTTTTTTTTACAGCACTTGCTTTCTGGCTGTCACAAAGTTTACTCCACAAACGCTGCCGCTTGGGGCCGCTACCGCTACTGTACCACTTGCAATATGACAACAGCCTCCGAGATTTTTGTGAAAAACTGCGCTCGCTGCGCAAACGCTGCAAATCCACGACACGTGTTCTGCACTGCATCCATTTTGCACCGCCAATTTCCAGGACACCTGTCCGCTCGTAATCCCAATCTCCGATCATCGCCCACCTCCTTTCAACTCCCCCCCATCCCCGTCCTCCACGGCAACAACATGCCTTGCCAACTCTCCTTCACCGCGCCCGCCACCCTCCCTCTCCGCGGCCCTGCGGCGCTCCCGCGTGCCCCTCGCGCGCGCGGCGTCCACGGCACGCGCCGCCGCCTCCCCCCGCGCGCCACGCTCGGCGGCTGGCAAGCCGCGGACCCGCCGCCGCCCGACCGGCAGACGGCGGACTGGGATGCGGCGGACTGGGATGCGGCGGACTGGCAACGCATCGTGTTCCCGCCGACGTCGCCGCACCCACCTCT